CCTAAATCTCAGTATCTCACAACGCTTACCTTTTCGCAAAGCACTTATTCAGAGAGTCAATCACCACAATCTACGGCGGGAGGTCGTTGAAGCTATCTCTAGACCTAAAGAGTTGCATTTGGGAGTTTTACGTGCCAAACCAACGATGGGTATCTGGCGCACCCCAGCGGAGGACTGAGGATTGGTTTCGACCACTTGGCGGATCTTCTGACGTGCAACCCAAAGCTCGGTTACACACCGCCTTCTTCGCAATAAGCATCCGTTAACCTTGCAGGCACCTCGGCCGGGATTCGAACCCACCACATGGGGATCCGTAGGCCGGCGCTCTGACCTCGGAGCCACCCCAAAGCAACTTATTCGTAGACCTTAAAGAAAAAAAAAAAATTAGTCAGCTGCGACATTGCACATGCTGAAACTCATCGATCAGTATCACAACGCACACTGCTTTTTTTTTTTGTGTGTTTTGAACACAAAAATAGTGTGTTTAAACATATTTTAAATCTCGTCATTCACCGAGCTCCCTCTCTGGATCGCAGCGATTGGGAAGTTTTCGTACACCGTTTTTCACCCTCCGCTACTCCCGCTGCAACGGAGACGCCGCTATCACGCATGCGCGTCGCTAGGCTTGCCTGCAGAGTTTTGGAGCTCGTAGCGGGTTGCGGAAAGCGTTGCGGGACTGCGGAAAGGTTCTACGAAAACTCCGTAATGCATGGCTCACTCATGTGCTGTGAAATAAGTTGGATGCTCAAAATTTGTCAGTGCGCAGTATAACCCTTCTTTGAGAAGCCGCATTTTTTATATTAATCCTTTCCTTGTGTTAGAGAGTTCTAGAATCTTTCTTGACCCGACATCTGAACCTTGTCAACAGCTGTTTTTTTTTATTAGCCGTAATCAAAGGAGGAATGAAGATTGAGTATTCGTTACTCCAGCCCACTGCTCGCCCTCTCGCGGAAGAACAAAGAACCAGAGGAGCGGGGCTCGGCGAGAGGCTCGGTTTCGACAGGAGATAACATACAAGACTTGTATGTCATCTCGCTTGCGCGCTCTCTCTTTATCTCTCTCTCTCTCTCTCTCTCTCTCTCTATATATATATATATATACAGGGTGTTTCAGAGAACGCAGGCCAAGTCGCTCCTGCGAAAACTACTCATCGCAACGAAAAAAAGCTTGTGGTGTTTCGGTCCTAGGCCAGAGGCCCATTTAAGAAAATTATTAAAGTCCGGGATAACTAAGTTTTTAATTATTTTCGCGTAATTCACTTTTTAATACTGTGTTTAAGGCATGGTTTAAATTAGAAAATTGTGCAGCATCATCGAAAAACACTAAATCAACAAATTGCAGAACGATAGAAGGCATGCGAAGCATTTTACGGCTTTCTGATAAACCGCACAAATTCGACGGGTTTTTAAATTTCGGTTTGCTATCGGAGCGCATCTCGGCCCCGGCAGCACCGCGCCCCGTGGAGAGATAGTGCAACCAGACTCTGCTGCGTCGCGCGATGGCAGCGCAGCAGAGGTTGGTTGCACTATCTCTCCACGGGGCGCGGTGCCGTCGGGGCGAAGATGCGCTCCGATAACAAACCGAAACTTAAAGGGACAATGAAGACGATTTTATTTAATTTTTTTAAATCGTGTTTTTATGCTTCTTGGGAACATAGCATGCTGCCCAATTTTTTGTGGACATTTGTGACGCGTACTTCTGTGCCTACGAAAGAAGAAAAGAAACCGAAACTGAAAAATCTCCATTCTCGTTTTTGTGCCTCCGAAAACGGAGGTGACGTGGTGAGTGACGTCAAGTGTGAATAGTCGGTATGGGTAGTATTTAGGAGATCGAGACTCTGGTTACCTCGGTGGGTTATAGCAGCGCGGTGGCGCGGTCGTTTCGTCGAATCCGTCAACACGGACGGCAGTGCCGCTCTCGCGAGCGAGTTCGAGCTTCCGTTCGGTGACCCAACACAAACGGAACGGGAGTACCTGTGCGGCGGCCTCTACCTTGACCCGACGGAGACCGCCCAGCCGGCAACGAGCGGCCCGCATGCCGAAGTGCCCATAGTTGTTCGTTGGGCGCTTCGCGTCCAGCGTAGCAAAGAAAACAACAATTATGCTGCTTTATTTACAGTTTAGTAACCATTTCCGGTCCGATTTATACTTTTCATGGTTATACAAGCGGAAGTTAGAACAGTATTTTGAAAAATCGCGAACCAAAACGTGACGTGTTGGTTCGCGAAACGAAAAACGTGCACGTTTCTCGTTTTGACCAATCAATGACGCGTCTCTTGTGACGTCGCGCTTCTTGGCCCCGCATTGGTCACATGAGCTCCGCTTCTCTTGGCTTCTCCCGCAACTCTCGGGGCGTCGCCCCAGTCGATCCCGGTATGATTAATACTGCGACTGTCTAATTGATTTGCGCGGCACACAAGCGCCGGTTGCGGCTGAAATTTGGGCAACCTGGCTTGAGACGTGCCTGGAACCCAGTTCAATCGCCAAAAACATATCCGAAATTGCCTTCATTGTCCCTTTAAAAACCTGTCGAATTTGTGCGGTTTTTCAGAAAGCAGTAAAATGCTTCGCGTGCCCTCTATCGTTCTGCAGTTTGTTCATTTAGTGGTTTTCGATGATGCTGAGCTATTTCCTAATTTAAAGGGGTACGGAAACAAAAATTGAAATATTCAGATTTCGTTTGTAAATGAGTCAAGCATGACGAATAATAACCGTAAATGATAATCGCACGCTTGTATTTTGAACGACTGGCTATATTTTTCGTTCCAAACGGTGCACTCGAACAAGCGCTCGAAGAGAAGCGAACGGAGAGCGCGATGCGTCATGGGATATTCGGCGCAAACAAAAACAGAACAAAAAGATTCCCCGCGTTCGTGGAGTAGCAAGGCTGGCGTGATTATGAGCTTTGCCCTTGGTGGCGTTGTCAGCGTTGCGGTGGTGTCAATAGAGAGTTTTAGTAATACGTATAGGTGCGACCGCAGACCCCATACGTTGACGTTAACGTTGCGTCCTCCACACTGCGCATGCGCCATACGTACGTACTGCGGCGAGCCTTGCGTACGTACGCTCGCTATCGATTTTTGCGAACGTACGTAGCGGTCCCTTGCGTGCCATCTCGTTGCTCTCGTCGCGCACGGGAGAGCGCGAGACTAGTCCAGTTTGAAAAATGGCGGCAGTGAGGCAAACCAGCGTAAGTGCTACGCGCATTGCACGGGTTCGCTTTACCATTGAAGTTGACATCAACCTCCTCAAAGAAGTCAACTCGACGAACCCTTTCGAGCACCCACAAAGATGGGTGTTGATAGCCAAGAACGTTGGCGACGCCGTCGAACCCAAAAAGATGTTTACCGTGCGGTCGGTACAAAAAAAAAAAAAAAAAAAAGACGAAACACGTACACAACAGGCACACGGAAACACGCACTTCCGTAACAAAGCCAGGAGAATCGGGGCTTTGGATTGGCTTGACCGAATACCCACCTTGGATTGTTTGAAGCAGTTTATAGGAACACATCTAGATGGCGCTACAAGTCTTTACGTATGCGTTCTTCTCCCGCTGTACTAAAAGTGCGTATTCGACGCGCACCGTAACGTTCCGTCGACGCAACGTTAACGCTAACGTAGGGGGTTTGCGTTTGCCCCTATACGTATTACTAAAACTCTCTAATAGCGTCAGCGCGTTACAACCGAGCCGTTCGAAGTACCCGTGGGGTGAAGAGCGTGTGGCTGGCCCATGGAGCACGTAGCTTCCACAACACTGTCAGCTTAGTGCTGAACGAGGTGGGGAAAGCAACTTTTGTTCGAGTTTTGAGCGACGGGCCAATCTTCTAGGGGGAGAATGGCTGTTTCCGGTTGCACGAACGAGGGAGCGAGAAAGAGGGGAGTCCTTCCGTTCCGTCTTCTTGGACCACTTGGTACAATGCGCGATGTGTGAGTTCAGGAGGAAAGCTAAGAAGGAAAACGTTGAAATGCCAAAAAGCGGCGCTGCTCCGAAGGAATCTGCTACGTCACGACTACGTAGCAGATTCCACAACGTTGCTAGACTACCTCCCAAATAGGTTCCACATGCATCCACCAGGTGCACATTGAAGATCGTTTATTTGGCTTTAACATTAGTTTTCTTGTGCTTTTCAACGAAAGGCTGGTGTTTTTGAGGTTAGGGTGCAACAGGCAACACATTAAAGCTAGAAAATGATAGCTGAAATTTCGTTTCCCTACCCTTTTAAACCATGCCCTTAAACACAATATTAAAAAAGTTAATTACGCAAAAATAATTAACAACTTAATTTTCCCGGACGTTAATAATTTCCTTAAACGGGCCCCATAATCGCAGGGCCCCTTAAATGGGCCCTGCGATAAGTAGTTTTCGCAGGAGCGATTTGGCCTGCGTCCTCTGAAACACCCTATATATATATATATGGTAGAAAATATGCAGATGAATAAACCGTATTTGATCGAATGCGTCAAAATTTCACCAAACTGCCAAAAGTCAAAATCAGTGGCGTACGATGATGAGAAAGTGACCGTGACATACAAAACTTAACTGAGCTACGACGCTTCAAAAACTGAGTTACTTCAAACTTCAAACGACACTGCAAAAACTGAGCTCAGGAACTGAGTTCCGACACATCCAAATCGTATAAAAAAGTCAATTTTGAATAAATATAAAAAAAAATTGTGAGTGTACTAATTAAGAAAGGAACTCTAATACAAAAACACACGAGTACTTCATCTGTCTACTAAAAAATAAGAAAGCGACTTGGATGCATTACAAGTCAAGAAACTTGTAATGCGTAGAGCCATGTATTTGAACATATATAAAAAAGCTTGCACTTCTTGTTTGTTTATTGTGTGTTCAGTTTTGACAATTGCATGTCACATTTTGCACTAAGACACTGATGAAGGATTGGCCATTTATTTGCAAAAGAACGAAATACGTGGCCTGCACACAGACGGGACATTGGCGCGGCAAACAGGAGCGTTAGCACGGCTGCCACCGGTATTATGGTTGGGGCCGCCGATAAGAGAAGTCAGTATATTTCATTTGAGTAGAAGTGTGGAAGTCTATTGAACTTCCAGAGCATACTGCAACTTTTCGGCTCTTGATTTGTTTGTTTGCTTGTTTTTCAGTGGCTACAAGTCTCCGTCAAACTATATCGTTGTGATTGGAGACCAGAACCTCAACACGGTAGATCCCTACGAGCAAAGAATCGCCGTGGTGAACGTAAGCAACTCGCCACGAATTCTGGCAAAACTTAGACGTGCAACCATACACCTTCAATGTATGTTTTGTAACAAACATAAACTTGTTTTGTTATAGTGAGGCAGGCCTTAATATGTCGTAACCTGAAAAGAGCCCAATGACACTCAATTTGCAAGAGAGCTAATCGAACGGTTTTGACATAATTACTTAAAATTATACTCTTCTAATTCCCTCATCGGCGTTTTTTTTTTAGCTTGAACAGGAATGTCCTACTGAATGACAGTCGTGATTTTGATTGCCTAAGAACCCAAGAGGAAAGTAAAATATTTCCATAAAAAAGTTAGCATCCCAACCAGGACTTTAATTATTTAAGGGGGGGGGGGGGGCAACGATTCCCAGACTTCGGTGAAAAAGTTGTGGAAGTTGTTCTCTGACACTTGTGAAGTAAAGAACAGAAGACCGATTTCGCCTGCGTCTCCTAGTTGTTGCGTAAAAAAAAAAAAAAGAAATATTGGCTCTTCTGGAACCCTTCAACTCACTCCCAATCTTCAGGGTCACACCTGGTCCCCCTCCTAGTGACGTAATTCGGGGTGCCGCGTAGCTTCCCATATGCTCCCTCAGAGAACGCTTACTCTCTCTCTCTCTCTGCTGTCATTAGCGGGCGTTATGCTGCAGCTTAAAGCCGAGCGAGGTCACGTAAGCATTTCGCCGTAGTTCCTTCGGCTGCCACTCGCGGCTGCAGGTGGGTGAAAAAACTCGACTTTTGCTTTGCGATTATGCAGCGGAATCGCGACAGTTTTTAATGAACGAGATGCTTTCTCTAGCCTCCAGGACACGATAAACAACGTAAAAATGACGAGACGCAAATTCTTTTAATCTTAACATTGTTGCACCTCCCCCCCCCCCCCCCCCCCCCCCTTAAAGGGATTCCGTGAAACGTTTTTTCTTCGTTTCATTCCAGGAGTTCGGAATATGTGTAAGACATTTCCTGGCTCTTAGCTTAACAAGCTTAACGTCGCAAAACACCATGTCGTTTTTTTCTCTCGTCGGCTTGTGCCACGAGTACTCGTCACAGACGCCCGCTTGTAAACGCAAACCGCCGCAATGCCTCTCGGCGTCGCAACAGACCAGCGAGAATTGAAGTCCCGAAGTAACGAGCTGTTTGTTTCCCCATTTAGATAGCTAAAGATAAATATTGTGATACGTTTTCTCGAGCCACAGATCACGATTCATCCCCAATGGACCCCTTCCACCGTGAACTACGATTACGCCTTGCTGAAGCTGGCGAGACCGCTCAACTTCACGGGAAGCGAGAAGGCACTCATGCCCATCTGCCTTCCGACGCTCAACCAGGGATTCGACGGCATGACCTGCACCGCTAGCGGATGGGGACTCACGAAAGACAGTCAGTGTCTGTTTCTGTTCGTGGCTGATAATAGCTTTAGTAACTAAATGGCGGATCCAGAGTATCACTTCTCTATTTCTTTCCGCCAACTCCTCATTGGCGCAGAAGGGCCACTTGCGCCAAATTTGACTACGGTGCTTACGGGGAAGTGACCTTGCAGGGTACCGGGTTTGGGGCCGGACATGTTGTTCACTGAGCGTTCGCGTAATGTTTAATATTGCACTGAAGCCTGACAAGAACGAAGGTTCTTGAACCTTCGGACATCGTGTGCCACTAAGACGTCAGCGTAATTGCGCTATTTTTTTATAATGCAAGCGCTGTTTCAACGCGGCCATGTACAAGCAGGCGACACGACAACCGACCACGGAGTGCCTGCGCGCGCGAGCTTCCGAGGAATCCGGGCGACGCGCAAAAGCGCATGCGCGGTCAGCTGCCGCCGCATGTCGTCGCACCCGTCCCGTCTCCTGCGAGACTGATGTCAAAAAGTTGAGGACGTTGTGATACTTTGCTGCGCAAGCGGAACATATACAAATTCCTTAGGCATGACTACTCGGACAGTCACTGAATAGACAATACTCGCGTATGGTGTTATTACACGCAACATAAAGAATTAGAACACGTGTATGGTGGTTTCTATCTAACTCGGGATTGCTCTACACTGCAACTTCAATGAATTTGTTTCATTTGCCGTTGCTAATGCCGTTAACGGGAAACAGCTTTGAACATTTACGATATAGTCTACCAGTACACTCTTTGATGATTGTGGTAGAGGAAGTGTTAACCACTTCAACTACGAGGCTTTGAGTATTCCCCCGCCAGACAGCTTTACATTTTGCGTTGCATGTAAATGATTTTAATGCTCAAGCAATAACTGTTCCATGGAGCCAGGATTGTCTGTGGCCTCAAAAAACGAGACATAAACTCCGTCTGCAGCAGCAAAAAAAAAAAAACAGCGGCTAAATTTACATTGGCTGCGACGCGTCATAGTTCCAAGGAACGCCACCCCGCGGAGAAGCCCTCATGCCTGCGCTGCGGTCCGCGCGTCGGTAAAAGAGAGAGGGCGGCTCGCGCGCTGCCGCCACACTTTCCCCTCCTCTCGGATCACGAGACAGGCGTGGCCGGAGGGGGGGAAGGGAGAGGGGGAGCGGGAAATTTTCCCTCCCTCTCCCTGTGCACTACTGCATCACGTGTTGTACTATGGTTGTACCATAGACTCCTCTATGCTCACAATGCCTGGCAGTTCGGTGTCGGAGCCATAGAGCGCCCGGTCGCAGATTTGGAGCGCGAGGATCTGGTAGCACAGAGCATTTTTTCGGGGAGAGTGGCATTCAGCGCACATCTTTTACAGCGGCAAGGACCCGAAACATGGATTTCAATTCCTGCGAGAAACGAAGCGGTCGCCCGAGGAGCGCGAGAAGCACGAGCGGACATTCCATCGGTTGGGACAACTGTGTTTCGGCGTCTCGCCGCAACGGGGCGCCTGTTGCATGACTCTTGTCTGCCGCTCTACCTTTTCACTTTCGGCGGCCGCGTTACGTGACGACCTGCTAGGCTTTGTCAGTATAGAGGAGGCAATGGTTGTACGCTCAGCTTTTAGCCATGTCGCGCCGCCCGGTCAGCCTCTGTGGAGGACAGCGGGGCGCGCTGCTGGTAGGAATGCACCGCCGCGTAGGATTACTTTCGCATTCCTACACGTGAGCCTCCTGTCATTTTTTGATTTTTTGTTTTGTGTTTTGGGGGAGGGGGCTTAGTCTAGGGTAGCATTCGCCTGTAATTTTGCGCAGATAACGTAATCATTTATGGTTTTGTTAAATACATACAAAAAATTCAGCCTTTCCACTCTGGTGAAGAAGGAAGACCAGCGAAGCTGTACTATGGCGGGAATGAAGTAATGACCGGCCGCGAGTGGGCAAGCCAGAGTGGAAAGGCTCGAAAAGTTGCCGCCATCTATGAGCGACGGCGGCAACCTGACAACCGGCAAGTCGGTTGTTTGGTTGCCGCCGTCGCCCATAGGTGGCGGTACCTGTCCAGATTTCTGTGTTATCAGGTCATTTGAGGACGAACACGATCCACGGGGAACTAGCCCTTAACAGCTCCGCTGTAAAAACGAATGACCAATACCAACCGCCCAGTGTCCGGATACCATGTGTAAATAATGGACCTTGACTCCTGCTTTATTCGTCTTCTCTCTGCAGAGTCCCAGGGAGGAAACGTATCCCAATCCCTTCAGAAGGTCGATTTGCCCATCGTGTCTTACTTAACCTGCTACTTTAACTACTTTTTCGTTAATACGGTTGTACAAAACACCATGATCTGTGCCGGTCCCAGAGTTGGCGGAAAAGGAACCTGCCAGGTAAGAAAATCGTGCTATTTAAACTGCACCACAGAGCGGAAGTTTGCAAACTAAGGCATACTGATCTCCACATACAGGCCTATATAGCGCGCGCGCCTGGATTTCTTTAGAGCATGCTCACGCCGCGCAATGATTTATTTTGTTCATGGGGCCTGGAACGCGTGTCAGATTGGAAGTCAAACTGGGGTCTTTGTCTGCAGCCTTTTTTCATCTTCATCTAGAACACAGCCAGAGCTGAACTGTCCGCGAGGCTAGTGCTTTCTTAGGAAACCACGTGCACTGTCCCGCTTCCTTCTCTTAGCGGCACCGGAAAGATGTTCCTAACGCTTGGGTCATGTACATGTTTTTTGTTTGGAACAATCTCGTGTGCATGTCCTGTTTTATACCACAAGACCCGATAAGCACAGTTTTTGTTTTCAACGTCAAACAGTGACATTGAAAAAGACCGAATCCAGTGGAAACAAACAAACCCCGAAAAACAACACCATCGAATTTGAAGCAAAAAATATCCCCCAGAAAACACGGAAAACTACTTCTTATCGACGTGGATGAAAACTTTAAGCCGCTCTTCAGTCGTGGTCACAGTGCTAATGCATCATACAAACAACAGACTGCAGACGCATTCTGAGGCGTGTTTCTTCCTTGTATGTGGCCCTTTCACACTGGTCATACAAACAATGTCGGCAGACATGTTTGTAGCACGTGCATATGAGGCGAACATGCTTCAAACGTCTGTGGCATGTCCTCAGACAATTCTGCCATGATGTCTGCGAAGAAACTCCATGACCATTGTATATGACTTATGGGCAGTGCAGCTGCGGCCTCAGGCTATCCGTTGCAACCGCGCACGCTCTTTGTTCCCAGGGCGACTCCGGGGGGCCCCTGCAGTGCGCCAGGTCCGACGGACGCTACGTGCTGGCCGGAAGTACGTCGTGGGGAACGACGTGTGCGGCGGCCAATCAGCCCTCCGTGTTTGCGAGAATCTCTCCCCAGGTCAACTGGATCAACAGCGTCGCTGGCCCGACCCCGTGAATTCGCCCTGGTTTCCATCGAGCGCCCGCTCTTTTTTCTTTGCATTAAAAACTGTCCGTGTACCTCAGCAAACTTTTTTCTTTTTATCTTATTTGATTCTTGCGCTGGACTCTATTTTTATTTGAAAGCAGAGAAAAGCAGCAGACGTTGCTACGAGGAGGCTCCTGTCCACGAGAAAGTGTTCTCTGACTTGCGGATGCAACTGTTCTTTGTACCCACTCACTCGAGATGAGTCAGATTTAAGTGAGGTGCAGCCACTGCGCATGCGCACCGGGCCGACACCAGGCCACCGCTGTGCTGTGACGTCAGGGTCGCTGCGTGTTGGTGTGTGCGAATTTCCCGCCGCGTTCCGGCAATTTGAAGAATTGCCTAAAAACACTGCGAGAAATAATAATAAAAAAAAAAAAAAAATCAATGCGCTCGATCGGCACGAAGTTTTCGCGGTGTTTCAGACTTCCCTTTCTCTGCGCTGGCTCGTAAGCAGCCTTCCTCACACTGAATTTGCCCGATTAAGTGACCGGCAGCGAACGCTAGCTCAGACTGTTTCCAAGTCCGATATCATATCAGTTTCGACTGATTTAGCTACAAGGTGCAGTCACACTGCCGATACATCACACCAAAGATAGTCTTGCAGACACTGATATGACGGTGACATCGGTCGTACAAAAGCTGTTTGCAGGCATCATGAAGCATACAGGGGGATCGGTGGCCGCCAAGTGGTCTAGCGAACACCAGCTCCGAGCACGTGGAGCGAAAGCTCGCGCTGCACAACTCAGGTATCCTGGGCTCGATTCCCGCCCCTGCCCATTTCGATCTCGACGAGCATCGTACCGGCGTGCTGTCGTGGTGCACGTTAAAGACCCCAGGCTAGCGGTTCTACTGCACTGGTTAAATTGCTCACCTACAGTGGGTAACAATGTCGCCATGTTCTGGCAGACTAACCTCCTGCTGTTTAAATCAACTAACAACTAATTTGACTTTTGTGTGCGCTAGACCACTCGGTCATCAATACCGCCAGGAAAAAAAAAAAGGAAAAAGTGCAGCGAGCTATATTTAGAACAATCTTAGCTGGTCGATGAAGATTATGTGTATCATTAAACGCAGTTGGTAGTCCAGTAATTGAATGCGTCTCTCGAATATTTTTGTCTATTTTTGTGTTTCGTTTTTTTACACCTTTTAGGACGTGCGGTGGAGGAAATTTACTTTTAAAATCGTTTCATGGCCCCTTGATGCAACCAAGAAAAAAATATTGCAAACATGATTCTTTCCAGCCTAAGGGCAAAAAACCAAATCGAAACACAACACAAAATATATTTAGCCAAGTAATTAATTTTATGCACAACGACGAATTTTTTAAATTTTTTTTTATAAAAGCTGTACATTTTACAGACATCTGTCTGGTTGGTTGGAAACTTAAAAAAAAATATTTCGTTGTTTCCTTTATTTCCTAAATATATATTCCTTCAGGATGTTTAACACTTTTATGTCACTTCTAGACATTTTAGTAGAGTGCTACCCACTTATAACAATACCATATATAACGTTGTACAGCTTATAACAATCAGTTTCTAGTTCAGATACAACGGTAATCGGTTATAACTATTGGATTGTCTGGTTTTCTCATTATGGCTAGTGGAGACCCTCTCCCCGGCCCCCCGTTCCCCGTGACGTCGCCACTTTCCGCCGCCGTCCTGTCGGGCGTTCCCACGTTTCCCGTGACCTTCCCGTTTCCCGGCGCCGTCCTGTCGTGGAATGTCCCAGCCCTCCGGGAGGAACGGGGCAAGCGCCCCCTCACCCAGCGCTGACGTCGGAGGGTCGGCTCGCGGCAAGGTCCCCGATTGGATGGTTGGTGGGACAAAGCCAAGAAAGTCTTAAAAGGGGAGGCGAGACAAAGGGTGGCCTCTAGGCGAGGAAGTGGCCGAGTGGGCTAACGCGTCTCAGCTCGGAGCGTGGAGCGAAAGCTCGCGCTGGGAACCCGCCGCCCCCGCCCGTTTCGATCTGGATGAGTTTTGGACCGGCACGCGTTCGTGTGATCACTACTGCGTGATGCACGTTAAAAAACCCAGGTTAGCGGTTGTACCGCACTGGCTAAATTTCTCATCTACAGCTAAGAGACCGATTACCCGTTGAGGCGCATCTCCATCAAGGCTGTATAAACATAAAGAGCAAACCAATTATTAAAGGGTGGCCTCTCTCTGGCTGCCATCTCTCTCTTGCTGCCGACTTGGGGATCAACGAGTGACGGAGGCGAGCTCGGGCGGCGGTGGACGCTGGCATGGGGAGTGCGGGCACTACGTCGAGTGGCGGACTCGAGAAACGGACCGGACAGCGACCCTGGACGACGACGTCCCCATGACGCGGTGTGGACGACCACCGCAGGGACTTGGAGAAGCTGCAGTGGCAGCGGACTCTCCCCCGGCCTCGCTGATGACCGCCCCCGATCCCGAAACCCCCCAAGGCAATGAGTGAGTGAATAAACCCTTTTGCCGACAGCGAAGTATTGCAGTGTCATATTCATCCCGAAACAGGGTCTGTGAGAATCGGAGCTGGAAGATGCCCGCAGGCTATAAGTGAATTGCGCAGTCAATGCATAAAAATAATAAGAAAAACGAACCGTCACGACATGCAATTGGCAATAAGATCGAACTATAGGGGGCGCTATGTCCAGCTTTTATTCCTTAAAATTGTGTGTTTACCCCTCATCTCTATTGGTAAGGTGGATAGCGGAACGGTAGATCGTCGATGGCACCACCGGCGGCCATTGCTTGACACCAGACAATACACGCAACTCTACGGGAGAAACACATAGAACTAGGAATACTGAAGCTTGTATGTGGCGCTCTAAGGCGAGTATTTTATGACGTGCTTCGATCATTATATCGGGTATTTAGAGTTCGAATCGGTATTCGTCAAGCGTTCAAACGCCGATTAAAATAAATCAAGCGGCGCCGGCGCAGATTGTGCCGGCGCCGCTTGCTTCAGTTGCTAAATAAATGACAAGTTCAGCAAATCTACGACACGTTCCATGTTTCAGTTCGCCACAGAAACCATCGCTGTAGTTCAAAGCAAAAGGTTGCACTAAAGTACTCGGTACAAGCGCTTAAAAGGATGTGAATGTCCCCAGTAAAGGCCTTTCGCATCCTTTCAAGCACTTTCACCGAGTACTTCTAGAGCAACCTTTTTACTTTGGACTACAGCGAGGGTCACAGTCCTCCATTGACGCTTAAGATGTCAGTGAAATGTATGGGCTTCCGGCAAGAAAAGAATAAAGATAGGCTTTTCAACTCTGCGAGTGAAAGCTACGTGCTTGTTACACCAATTAATCGCTTACTTTGACAGCAGATCTCACTGTGGATATGGAAAGCCTCTCTTTATTGTCATTTTCCTCGGAGCCCACACATTTCACTGTCATTTTACCAGCGTTGGACAAAATACTCGATCAAAGTATTTAAGTTAAGTAACTAAATACCTGCTTCATAAAGTATTTAAAATACTACTCAAGTTACTTTCACTGTAAGATATCTTGAGTAGAGTACCAAACACAGAAATCTAATTCAATTACCTTTGAAGATACTTCCGCATTGCGTAATTTAAATCGACGTCAGTGGCGACGACAATTACACAGTTGCTCAGATCTGGTTTACCAGAATGGTTTATTAGACGCAACAACACAAAAAGGCGCAAAAAACAAAAAAACAAACAAACAAAAAAAAAACAGCATCATAGGGCTATTTTATGCAGTCATACTATAAGGAGCACGATATTGTCACAACTGACAAAAGATGAGGCGGCGAATAACTGAATAAACTAAATATTTAACGGGGCGAACTTGTGCCCAAAACAAAATAGAGATAGGCTAGCGTTGTAGGCGTCGAAGTCGACGAAACAGCAGGATCGAGCGCTGGGACGAGTCTGACACCGAACCAAATAAAAAGAAAAAAAAATGGCTTGCTTTTGTATGTTTAGACAGCCTTGATGATGGTAAGCCTCAACGGGTGACCGGTCGCTTAGCTGTAGATGAGAAATTTAGCCCGTGCAGTACAACCGCTATCCTGAAATTTTCACATGCATCAGGCAATAGTGACTACACGAACGCGTGCCGGTGCGAAACCCATCCAGATCGAAGGGGCGGGTGCGATGGGGATCGAACCAAGGAGGTTTCCAGCGCAAGCTTTCGCTACCCCCACGTGGAGCACCTTTTGCACCCACGTGGGTTTCTCGAACATTCGGCGTAGAACGTTCCTGGTGTAAAATATTCGTAAAGGCCCGTTCACACTCTTGCGACCGACTTTGACCGAGAGAGACCAGACCGGATGCGATGCAGCGGAGCTGGTCCTAAGAAGTCGCAAGAGACTTAACAACCGGTCTGGTCTCTCTCGGTCTAGCTCGGTCGCAAGAGAGTGAACGGTCCTTAACTCGATGACACAACAAGGTTCTCGAACGTACGAGAATGTCAAGTTGAAAGAATAAATAAAGGAGGAGTCCGGTCCCTGGAATCGAACTCGGAGGCAAGCGCGGTAACCATTCGGCCTCGAGCTCGCTCGGCGACGCGCGTGGCAATATCAGTGTTGCAAGTTACAAAACATTTCTGGGACATAAATAAAGAGGCCCACAAGACCTGTGGGCATGTCCACAGGCCTCGTGTTGGGTAAACACCGAGGTGTGGGGGTGACAAACGGGTCAGTTCGAGCGCCCCGCCAATAGTGTCATCGGTGAATATCACGTTCTACAGCTCACCTTAGACGCGTCGTTTAACTACAATTCATATTCCTTATATGGGGAGTTCACTATAAACGAACTTGGGATACGGATATCAGTGAATGGTTAACAAAAAGGACCCACATAAAAGCCATCGGCAGTGGTCGCACCTTCTTCAAGTTGGTTTCATTCAGAAAGGCCCTCAGCGTTGGAGGACGCTTTGTTGGGATATTGAGAGGGTCATCCAGCTTTTAGTTATAATAATAATAATATTATTAATGATAATAAATGTCTTCATTTTGCCAACAGTTTACAGTTGGAAGGTGAAAAGGGAAAAAAACTATAACACAGCTTGACTAGTCC